GTGTGATTATATATATATATATATATATATATATATATATATATGATATTCATGAATTGTCCCTTAGTTAATTTTTTATTTTTTAAACTTTAACTTTTAATAATAATAGATTAAACTATTTTTCATGTAAATTAAAAAAGGACACATAATACAAATTAAAAGAAGACTTGTATGTGTATTAAAAAAATATAATTAGTGACTTATTTAAAATTAAATTTATTTACTTATTTAACATTTTTAATACAAAATAAATTTTTAAATAAACTAATTAGTTAGATCAAACATTTAAAAGGTCATGTCATACTTATAAATAATTTATAATAGATAATAAATTAGATCTATGCTTTAATTTTATACAATACTGTATATTGAAAGCTTGCTTTGAACTTTCCTATTCCCATTCCTAACTTATTAAGAATTAGTCCAAATTTTAAAACACTCATTCAAGGATTATTATTAAAAAATTGTTATCTAGAGACTCAATATGTATTTATATTAAATGTAGATAAACTTAATTTTAATATAATTATTTTTTACAGTAATATAATTAATTTTAAACTGTTGAAAGTGATAATTTTTTTGTCTTAATTAATTTTAATTACAATTTCTACATCAAAAATAAAAAAAATATGTATCACAGTAGGAAAAGAAAATAATTTTAGCAGTTTTACAAAGGTATTTATTTTACTTTCGCCGAAAAAAAACCCAGCAGGCCACGAGTCCATCTTATTGCCTGCAAAGCCCGTTTGTATACGTTACTCTGGGCCTTGGCCCGTTTGGTTATTTCCCTGAAGCTCTAATACAAGTGACAAAGAATTAGGGTTTTACACATTTAAAAAGGCGAAACAAAACGAAGCAGAAGATCCACTCAGAGGTAGGGCGCGAGAGCGGAGCGGAGGAGAAGGAGAAAGCGGCACCACCGCCGTAGAAGAAGACAAGAGCCATGGTCCACGTGTCCTTCTACAGAAACTGTGAGTGCACCGATCCACCCTCTCTAACGACGCCGTTTTCCAAACCCTAGCACCGCCGTTGATTTCTTACTTTATTTTTTTGTTTGACAGATGGGAAAACATTCAAGAAGCCTCGTCGTCCGTACGAGAAGGAGCGTCTTGACGCGGAGCTGAAGCTTGTCGGAGAGTACGGGCTCCGGTGCAAGCGAGAGCTGTGGAGGGTACAGTACGCCCTCAGCCGCATCCGCAACAACGCCAGGAACCTTCTGACACTCGACGAGAAGAACCCTCGCAGGATCTTCGAGGGCGAGGCTCTGCTTCGCAGGATGTTCCGCTACGGTCTCCTCGACGAGACCCAGAACAAGCTCGATTACGTTCTCGCTCTCACCGTCGAGAACTTCCTCGAGCGCCGCCTCCAAACCCTTGTTTTCAAGTCCGGCATGGCCAAGTCCATTCACCACGCTAGGGTTCTCATCAGGCAGAGGCATATCAGGTTCGTCCCTTTTCGCAATCTCATTGATGGTTGTATTAGTTTGCGAGTTAATTGTGTTTTGTTTTGGTGATTTTTTATTTTTATTTTTTGGGCGCTGTGTTTGTTAGTTTATAGTATTGTGGACTAATTGGATATGTTTAGGGAAATTTCATTTTTTGATTTGCCTTTTCACTTTTTTGGATTGCCTGCATTTTGTGATGAAGCTCCATTTGTGTGATTTTGTGTGTTGTTTGGGTAAACCACATAATTATGATTCTTGTGGTAAACCACATCAGGAGGAATAGGGTACAATTATTCTTAGGCAAGTTGTATGTTGTTTATATAAGCTGTTTAGGTAAGATAAAATAAGATCAAACAAATTAGCTGCAAATGAGATTGAGTATGATTGGATATAAGTTTAAAAGAGTTTATGTGCTGGAAAAGGCTTTTTATTTTCTGTAGGGGGAAGTACTCAAGTTTTTCTGAGCTTGTATCCATTTAGATTTTAGACTCATAATGTTTTTGCGTACCCTCTTTATCAGTACATGGCTCCTTAATGTTTCCTAAATCCTGTGATGATTCCTGAGCCTCCAAAGTGAACCCTAAATCCCGTTTGCATCATTTTGATTCCTTTTGACGCTTGAGATTCCGGTGAGGGTGAGGGAGGACGAACGAGAATGCCCGTTACGTGACTGAAACGTGTCTCGACACCGACTGGATGGGCCGCGAGGTCTACGGAGGAACGGTTGGGGAGGGCAAGGCCTATGATAGGGGCGTGCGCGCGGGTGCCTTGGGCCGTTGATTTCTTACTTTTTTTTTGTTTCGTTTGACAGATGGGAAAACATTCAAGAAGCCTCGGCGTCCGTGTGAGAAGGAGCGTCTTGATGCGGAGCTGAAGCTTGTCGGAGAGTACGGGCTCCGGTGCAAGCGAGAGCTGTGGAGGGTACAGTACGCCCTCAGCCGCATCCGCAACAACGCCAGGAACCTTCTGACACTCGACGAGAAGAACCCTCGCAGGATCTTCGAGGGCGAGGCTCTACTTCGCAGGATGTTCCGCTACGGTCTCCTCGACGAGACCCAGAACAAGCTCGATTACGTTCTCGCTCTCACTGTCGAGAACTTCCTCGAGCGCCGCCTCCAAACCCTTGTTTTCAAGTCCGGCATGGCCAAGTCCATTCACCACGCTAGGGTTCTCATCAGGCAGAGGCATATCAGGTTCCTCCGTTTTCGCAATCTCATTGATGGTTGTGTTAGTTGCGAGTTAATTGTGTTTTGTTTTGGTGAATTTTTTTTATTTTTTGGGCGCTGTGTTTGTTAGTTTATAGTAGTATTGTGGACTAATTGGATATGTTTAGGGAAATTTCATTTTTTGATTTGCCTTTTCACTTTGTTGGATTGCCTGCATTTTGTGATGAAGCCCCATTTGTGTGATTTTGTGTGTTTGGGTAAACCACATAATTATGATTCTTGTGGTAAACCACATCAGGAGGAATAGGGTTTAATTATTCTTAGGCAAGTTGTATGTTGTTTATATAAGCTGTTTAGGTAAGATAAAATAAGATCAAACAAATTAGCTGCAAATGAGATTGAGTATGATTGGATATAAGTTTAAAAGAGTTTATGTGCTGGAAAAGGCTTTTTATTTTCTGTAGGGGGAAGTACTCAAGTTTTTCTGAGCTTGTATCCATTTAGATTTTAGACTCATAATGTTTTTGCGTAATTTTGATTTTAACCATGTAGGGTTTATAAAAGGACTTTGTTTTGCATGAACTGAATGGGCGTTTATCATTCTTTTGATTTTCTGGTTTTATTCGCTTGAAGATGAAGCTGTCGATGTATGCTATCTATTGTTTTGGTGATGACAATTTTTTATTTTTGTTTTGGGATTGGCAGGGTTGGTAGGCAAGTGGTGAACATTCCATCTTTCATGGTGAGGGTTGACTCTCAGAAGCACATTGACTTCTCGCTTACTAGTCCTCTTGGTGGTGGACGCCCCGGAAGAGTGAAGAGAAAGAACCAAAGGGCTGCTGCTAAGAAGGCTGCCGGTGGTGATGGGGATGAGGAAGATGAGGATTAGACTGTTAATTTTGTCTTTCTCTAGTGGTATTAGACCTTGTGCCACCTTTTACCTTGCTTCCCTAGTTTATGCTTATTGATTGTTATACTTTTTCCGTTCTTGGTTCCTTGTTTGAGAATATAATTTGCGTGATATATTATGTTTTTTGAACTTAAATATTTTAAAGTATCAAGATTTTCCCTTAATAACTTTGGTGGTGATTGATTGGTTTACTGGCATCTACTTATGAACTTGTAGTGTCCCCTGAGTATTTTCACCTGGTTTAAAACATCATAATTTCTTTGGTGATTGAATCAAACATGTCTGTGTTACTCTAGTTTTACGTCCCTGAAGATATACAGGGAAAAGCTTGAGTCTCATTCATAGTAATTAAATAACATTATTAGGTTATAGCATGGGCAATGTGAGTCGGATAACTTCTAAGCCACACTACCACACTGACATGTAAAAGCATGTTGGGGCTTAACTTAAACATTATTGTGAAACCCAAAGATAGCATATAGAAGTGGTTGGTTACTTATTCCATTAAATGCTTATTTTATTAATCGATTCCATCGTAGTGTAGAATCATTTTAAATTGGTTGAGTGAGTTATATATATATGGTTCTTTGTTTTCATTTTAGTGTTTGTAAAAAATAAAGCAGAACAATTTTTTTTGTGTTAACGTTAATTTGGGTTGGGTAAAATTTGCTTGCCTGTTAATATAGGTTGAAGTATGTTTTCATCTAACATGTAGCTCACTAGAGTTTGGTTTATGTTAGTCCATGGATTGTGGTTAGAATGAATATCACAAAACATTTAACTAAACAGCTCCTAGAACTGATATTATAGTCATACAACTTCATCCGGTAGCTGATCTAACATAACCTTGTCATTTCCATTACTTTCGCCGTTTCTAAGTTTTATAATCTAGGAGTACATTCCAAACTGAATGACGTGAAAACTATCGAGTAGGTTTTATATGGTCGTAGAATTTGCTTGACCCGATGGCAACCGAACATGCTGTTAGCCACCACTGCACCTGCCACATGGGCAATGAACTGCATTTGACCAACACCCTCAATCTCCCGAAACACGAGATGAATTTCATCCATGCCCCCACTGCATAGTCATCTTCCAAGAGCTGCTTCCACAAATATGGGCGCTACATTTACCTTGGTTAGGGGTGTGAACAAAATTCAAACTCACCCAATTTGGTCCATAATAAAATTCAATCTGTTTTGAAAAAAAAAATTGAATCGATCTATTTTTACGAAACGGATCGGATCGATTTGATTTGATTTGAAAAATGGGTAATTGTTATGGACCGAAGTGATTTAATTTAATAAAAATTGATTTATATTTAAAAAAAAAAATAATTTGAGTCACTTTATAGAATATGGATTGGTTAATTAATTTATTTTTATAAAATGGATGGTATTGGTTGGGTTTGGATTTTTGGATTTTTCAAAAATCAGGAATTCATAAAATAAAATTGATAGGAGTTTAGCCGCAACTCAGTGATTTTTGTCTTAAGATGTCACTTTCATAATACTTGAACTTCTTTAATGGATTAGAAAAACTAAGCCTAATCCTTGACCCGGACACTTGTTTTTGAAATAAAAGCCACCGATTTTAAAAATTTATAAATAAATAATTTACCTCTCTTAATTTAATTTAACTTTTTATTTCTCATCTCTTCAAAGAGACAGACGGTCGGCAAATATAAAAAGAAAAACACAAGGGACAAATATAAAAAGATAAAAACAAGTGATATCATTTATGGGTGTATTTTTCCTCTTCTAAGCGTGTGTAAAAGTAGTTTAATTTTATATTGTCAAAACATTCTAATTATTATTTTTAAACAATTATTATTGTCAATGTTTTTCATTTATATAATATTATATGATGGTATTTAAAACGATGAAGTCCTTAATTTTATCTCCATTCTCTCTTGATTTGTCCTTAAAATAAAAAATATAGTAATTTTTCAAGTATTAAGAATCATAATAAGTAATCATTTAAGTATTGAAAATTCATCAAAATGTTGGTGAAATACATCAACTCAAGAACTAAACCGATGAATATTCAATACTTGAGAAATTATTTTTATAAATTACTTATTTTAGAAAATAAATGAGAGAGAATGATGCTTAATAGAATAAATTGATTGGTTTATTTTAAGAAAAAATAGGTTATCCATTGATAGTGTAAGAGTTTTACACAAACTCCTAATCACAAATTATTGTGTATAAGTTTATTTATTTATTTAATTATTTTAATCAATAAGATGGTAATGATCACAATGAAGATCGATTTTAACTTTTAAGTTCTCATGTGCCTATTTTAACCTCTACTTAACTTGTTGATCAATAATGTAATATAAAAAGTTTGCTGATTATTATAAAAATTACCTTAAAAATGTCAATAATAAGTTCTTAAAAATATGCCAACAAGAAGTTCTTATTAGTTGATAATATAATTTTTTTATACAAAAAATGCACTACATTTAAACTGTTATTCTAATTAAAACCTGTGCGTAATATATTTAAACTAAATTCCTAACACTATTTTGTAACAAGAGGTGGCTAAGTGAGCTAGACTATCCTGTTTAGGCTCGTGACTCCACTACTCTAGCAAAGATGGGGTTGGGTAGGCTGGCCTGTTTGGTGATTCTAGTTGAAAATAAAATAAAAAAAGAAAAAAAATCATGAATTTTATTTTAGTATTAACTTAACAAATTTAGTTAAATGACTTAAAAATATATTAATAGTCTATTATGCTAAACTTAAAAGAAAATTATCTTACTTCATTATTTATAAAAAGTTACTAGAACATATGTTTGGGTATTTGTATTCTTTATGAGATTGATATTCCATCTCCGTTTTAAATATGAAGTTATAATTAAACTTAATACTTTACTCTTAATGGTAGGAAATAGTTATATTTCGTAATTGTATATAAAAAAAAATAAAAAAAAAAAAAGTGTTCCGCCTGGCTGCCGATTTGATGTAATATCCATGTTAATGTTAATTAATCAATATTAAGCATTAACACACCGTGTTGACTAAGTTAATTTAATTTTGTGAAATAAGGAAGAACAAGTCCCATTCTGAAACCCTTCCAAGATCGAAAGATCGAAACCCAAACCACAAAGAAATGGATTCCGTTAAGATCTTCAAAGGCTACGACAAACTACAACACCATCCAAACCCAAAACCCAAACCCTTCACCGCCACACTTTCCATCCTCGCAATCCTCTTCCTCACCTTCACCTTCGCCTTCGCCCTCGCCTCCATCCTCCACCACCACCACCACCACCACCACCACCACCGCACCGCCACCGAGTCACCCCAACACCAACAACTTCTCAACTCGGCCGAGTCCATCCGAGTCGTCTGCAACGTCACGCGCTTCCCAGGCGCCTGCCTCGCCGCCATCCCGCCCTCCCCCAACGCCACAAGCCCCCAGTCCATCCTCGCCCTCTCGCTCCGCGCGTCCGTCCACGCGCTCCGCAGCGTCGCCTCCACGCTCGCCGCCGCCCAGGGACACGCGCTCGCCGACTGCAGGGACCAGCTCGACGACGCGCTGAG